AAGATTATTTAAAGATGCGTAAAAGTTGATAAATGGTTCACAGGTTGCACAAGCTGCAGCAAAAATTTCAAAATACTGTCTCCAAAATCCCAAATGAAATAAATAAACCTGTCATCCAGCGATGCACACATGTTGATAATAATGAACAGAATCTCTCTGGTGACTGAGCGAATAAAAACGTTCTCTCTGTGTTTTCTCTCAGACCTGATGGACGACATGCCCACCGAGGGCAGAGAGTGCGTCAACTGCGGCTCCGTGTCCACGCCGCTGTGGCGCAGAGACGGTACCGGACACTACCTGTGCAACGCCTGCGGACTTTACCACAAGATGAACGGAATCAACCGGCCGCTCATCAAGCCGCAGAAACGACTGGTAAGAGTTTAAAAAAAAAAAAAAGATTTTACGCACAGGCAGCCCTGAAGCACTGATCTGTATTTATGTGTCTGCACTTCTACTTTATGCTTCAGTTTAATTTAATCCACATCTGTTTAATTCTCCTACAATCATCCATCAACTCAAACCAGCTGCAGTAATAAAATAATAATAAAAAAAAAACAGAAATAAATTTAGTTGTATTTCCCTTGAAATTACTTCCACTCCAAAAATACATAAATAACTGATGAATCGTCCTGTTGTTCTCCTGATGAACACATTATTTGGACCATAAAATGTCAGAAAACAGCGTTACAGACTAATAACATCCTTAAATGTGTTGGTTTATTTGATCAAAGGTCAGTTTCTTATCACAGCAAAGAGGCATCTGAGCTGCTGATATTTAACTTATAAATGATTGAAGAATAAACTCGTTGTTGCAACTCTGATAGAAAAACAAAACCAATGTGATGATGATGAGTTTATTTTTCTGATCAAGTGTTTTATAGTTTAGTGATTAAAAAAATAAAAAGACAGCCAAACTTTCCAAAAGAAGCAAAAACATTCAGTTTAGAAAATCAAAATGCTAATTTTCTGACATTTTTTGCCAAATAAAATAAGACGAGATGAAGTCTTTGGTGCAAAAAGCAGTTTGTTGTCAGTTAATTTCTACAACATTCTAATTAGCTCTGCTTTGAAATCATTAAATCTGCACTGAGAGAACTTAATATTTCTCTACTTATGATGCTTTTTTAAAATTATTGTTATAATGTGATCTGTGCGTATAAGAGCAGTTCTCTGGTAAACACCATGTGTGCTGCCACTACATTCATACTGACTGAGGACTAGTCGTGTGTTCTCCACGGCTGCACGTTTCTCAGGAACTTCCCCGTTCAGAGCAGCTGTGGCGGCGAGTTGCCCAATAATCCACAACAGGGCTGTTTTCTCCGTTTTGTGTTTGTCCTGCTCTGACCTTGCCCTTGATACGAGCCGTTTTTAGACGAGGCTCTGCAGCAACGTGACTCCGTGCTGCAGCCTGAGCTCCAGACACACTGTGGAGACTCATTCCTGTCGTCTTTATGGGTGTTTATTGTGGGGATATGTGGTCACCATTGAGGGTTTATCAAACGTATCATCTGTGTCGTGTTTTGATGCTGTTTCTGACCCGGATTCATCGTTTGAATTTTCAGACAACTGACAGTTTCCCGTTCACATGTCCCCTCCTGCAGCAGACCACGTCCCGCCGGGCCGGACTCTGCTGCACCAACTGCCACACCAGCACCACCACGCTGTGGAGACGCAACGCCGAGGGGGAACCCGTGTGCAACGCCTGCGGCCTCTACATGAAGCTACACGGGGTAAGCTCTTCTTTTTTGTTTTTGCTCCTCTGGTGAGTTTTGTTGCTGCAGCAGGGAGCATAAAACCTCTCCAAGGCTTTGTTATCAGCGTGGGAGGAGAGCCTGAGTGGGTTGTCATGACACAGTGGCCTCTGTTGTAGTGGTGGTAACAATAATGTGTGCTGCTCTGCTCCCTGCAGGTCCCCAGACCTCTGGCCATGAAGAAGGAGAGCATCCAGACCAGGAAGCGCAAACCCAAGATGCCCAAGAATAAAACGTCCACAGGTAGGGTCGGCAGTCCAAAGGTTCAGCTCAGTGCATCCACATCCTGTAACCAGAGTGACTTATTTGATTCTCCTGTTGGTCCTGTAGGAGCCAACACCTCCAACACCAGCTCTCCGACCTCACTGTCAGTCTCAGAACACGCTTCGACCATAAAAAGCGAACCCAACATGGCTCCATCACCGTACGCCGGACAGACCGTCACAGCCGCCACCCGGGTAAATCTCAGCTTCTATGTTACTCGTGTGCAGGAAGGAACAATTAATGGGTTCAATGAGTATTCAAGCATCGACAGCAGCTCGCCAGTTCACTTTTAGCCGACTCTTTGTCCTCATTACCTGTCGCTAATTCCCGCTTCACCTGTTACGTGTAGCTTTTTCAACTCATTTTAGCTGTTAAAACATATTTCAAATCATCTATTAATTCTAAATAACCTTTTCAACAGTTATTTTGTAATCAACCATTTTAACTAATTAGCCTTTAGCCAACTATTTCAACTCTGAAACCATCTGGATCAGCTCTTTTCAGCTAGTCCAACTGTTTTAGCTAACTGTCTAGTTAAGGGGTTCGACCACTCAGACATTACTTTTAGCTATTTAAAGTGTTAAACCATTCTGGCTAACTATTTTAAACTTTGATTCACTACTTTTAGCGTCCCATTTCATCTGTTAACCCAATACTAGCTATACAATCTTATAAGCTAACTCTTTCAGCTAACTATTGTTGACATTTTTACTGGTTATTTTAAGCTGTTAATACATTTTGGCTAAGCATTTCAAAGTTTAATCCAATATTTTTTAGCTAACTAATTAAACTTCAGATCCATTTTGTTTTTAAGCTAGCTTTTTGCACACCTTATGCCTATTTTTTATTTCAGTTTCAAACAAATATCGGTTAGTTTTCTCTTTCTTTCTTAAAGCAAACCCATAAAGTAGCTTTTTACAATATTAAAAATGAATATAATGATATATATATTTTATATTTATGCACTTTTACAGAACACATCAGTTAGCTACAGAGGAGGCTGCTGCTTATTCAGCTAAGTGTGGCGGACTGAGCTCAGGATATCTGGAGGATTTAGACCTTCTCAGTGTGTTTGGGAAACATGTACAAATCAAAGCTCCTCCAAAGTCTGGCAGCCACTTTTTAAATTACAACTCTGTGAGTGCTGAATCATAATGAATCACGCAGAATCGCTGTCGTGGCGGCACAGGAAGTCACATATTCTCTTCCAGATACGTGGCCACAGAAAGCACGAACCGGCCTTTACTCAGGATATGTAACCCTGATGACATAATCCGGGTTTCTGATTCTCTTTCATACGTCAGTGAGTTCCCAGATAAGACGTTTTACGGCACAGCGGCGCTGCTCATGATACGAATTTGACATGTCGCCAACTTTCTAACGTCCTCACATCTTCTTTCCTCTCTGCAGACGGCCTCTCAGTTAGACAGCACAGGGTCGGCCCACGTGGACATTAAATACGAGGACTATCCCTTTACCCCGACCTCCATGGCCACGCAGAACTCCTGGTGCGCTCTGTCTCAAGCGTGAGCCGGCAGAACTCACCGGTTCGGCTCCTCCTGCAGCTTGGGACTCTGGAAGAACAATGTTGAAGAGGCGCTGAAGCTAACTGGCTACCTACCCCGCTATGTTTCACACTGTAACACACTGGTTCTGTAAAGCACAAGGCTCACCCGGGCTGTACCTTCACACTCGGACCGGATCGGTGTTGATCATCCACAGCGGGGACGTTGGACGCCGACGAACACACATGGGACAACGACAACTACCTATCGCTCAAACAAATGTCTGTTTTTGGAGACACCAAACACACCAATGCAAAGACAATCAAGTGCAATGAAGACGTGGACGTAGTAAAACCCTTTTTTTTTTTACACTAGTTTCATTCTGGAGCTGCTTCGTGCGGTTTCTCAAGAACACTCGGACATTTCCAACATGTTATTCTCACGGCGAGAGAGGCGACGGACAGAAAATACCTTTTGTTTATGGCTGTTGAACACGTCTCATTACCGACGCGTAGATGATTAACTTTTATAGGCGCATTATTTATGTTGAGATAAGGACAGTTAAAAGTCATTGTGGACACTAAAAGCAGCCGCTCACGGTTTCCCCCCGTCGCTGGGCGGCCGTTTGCATCGCAGCCGTGATGCTCAGATTATTATTACGACTAGATGTGTTTTTACAAGACGCATGAACGGATTCTTGTGAAGGAAAATCAGAACCGGCCATCAGGAAGTTTATCATTTTACTGCTTTTTCAAATAATAACGACAAATTTTCAGAAATCGAAACCATAAAGCGTGAAATTATTTTAAACGTAACCTAATTTTATTATCTGTGTTGTCATGTAAGGGAATTTTAATGTTCTTTCTCTGTTTCCTCTGTTTGTTTGTTTGTTTTTTTTTGGAATCTGTTCCGGTTAATAAACTGATTCACATTTTGCATAATTGATTTATGAGCGTAGTCGTTTGATTTTCAAGTAAATCTCATGAGACCACGTTCTCGCTACAGATGGATTTTAACGCCATAAATGCACATCTGGAGGTTTGCGCTGATGTTCTCTCATCCCTGCATCTATCTCATGGTCATTTCTATTCTAACTCAAATATTATTTACAAGAAATGTGTCCACATTTGCTGTGCAAAGTTGGTTAAAATCTAATATAGTTATCCTAACAGCTGTATAGAAGAGGGATGCATGAATAGTTAGACAATAACCTTATAATCAACTCATGCAGCGCTTCATGTCCACTCAAGACTTCAGAATTAACCATCACATAATAGCGGTCACACAGGTTTTTATTTGGTTGTCCTGTGAACATTATGCACAGTTTAATCACTCACACGCCTGCAACACATTTAAATTATCGGCTGTTGAAACTGCAGAATCACTGATGGCTGAATCTCAGTGAAAGCGGCTTGAAGACGAGTTTTCTTTCTGTTGATGATCTTACAGTTGATGTGTTATACTGCAGTGCACAGAGCAGGTTAATCTGGTGTTGCACACAAGCGGTGGACAGTTATGTATCACTGCATCTGTTTATATGCAGATTCACAGCCATCCAGGTCGTGCTCATCCTAAATAAATCAGTAAAAAGCAGCTGGTTGCTGAAGATGTTCCACCTCTCATGCAGGAACTAAAACATGAAGTTTTTAGGATTACTTCTCCAGATTATTATTGTTTCATTATTGTGCCTCAGGTTGGTGTGCAGTATCGTGACTCTATTTTCCTCCATAACACAAATACATAAATGTGAAATCATGTTGGCGTGAACAGGTTCTGAAATTTAAACTGTCAGGTATTTTTTTTTCTGTATTTCCTGTAAAATCTCCTCAACATCTCCCAGCATTATGAACCCGACCCCTCACTGTTCAACATGATGTTTGCTGTATTTGCTCATGCTGATTTCAGCTCCAGTGCACAATGTCATTATACCTGTGTGTGTGTGTGTGTGTGTGTGTGTGTGTGTGTGTGTGTGTGAATTCATACGTGTTTGTGTGTACAAGCAGGGCGTGTTTTTCTTCCCCTGCCTGTTGATTGAACCAGCGTCGACCAAAGGTTGCGTTCCAACTCCGCTTTATGGCGACCGGGTCCGAATTGGGCGAAAACACGGGCCGTCAGCAGAAAAAAAAAAAAGAGCTGCAGGTTTTACTGCGGCTGTGGCGACATCCAGGCACCGCTGCACCAACAGCACTGCCCAGCTTTATGACTGTTGGCCAAGATGTTGCCGTCTTATCTGTTGCTGGGAGAGGCCTGCTGCAGTGTGATGTGAAGATGCAGACACATGAGTTTCCCGCGTGGGAGGGAGGAGAATGAAGTGGGTGCCTGAAATGAACGGCAGGAGTTTGGAGAAGAGCGGGAGGCGGTTTGAAGAATGTTTTAGTGTAAATAAACGTGTTTCGGGCGCTAATGTAGAAAACTGTAGTAACGCCGATCACGTTCGCTTTTTCTGCTTGACGAATAAACTGTTGGAAAAAGTTGCTGTTGTGCAGATTTACTTGTGGATGGAAAAGCAGTGATTTTATACAAGATGGCACAGGACGTATGGAGAGTTTAGACATTCTCGCTTTTGTTTGTGTTCCTCCAAAGTCCAGCATTTCAATTTCAACTGACGAGTTCTGAAGGTGTGGAGGATGAGGAAACTCTTCCTCTCTCATCAGAACAGGCGTTTGTTTTGTTGTGCTGACCAGTTCTGGGCGTCTGGGCCTACGTGGTCGATTGCAGAATGTACCTGACGCAGACCTTTGTTCATGTGGATACAGAAAGCATGAATGGGCCTTAAGTGAAGCCAAGTACCTGTGATGACATAATCAGGGTTACTGACCCTGTCCTAGGCCTCGAAAGTTCCCACAGAAGAACCTTTAAAGCACATGAAGTGAATTTTAATTTAACATTTTGTTAATGTTCTACGTTTATTTATGGTTTTGGAGTTTGGAGAATGAGACGGGTCTTTACTGTTACATGCAGTAAAATAGATGATGTTTGCTTTTTTCTACTAGAAAAATAAACTGTTGGAAAATAGTTGCTGTTGTGCAGATTTACTTGTGGATGGAAAAGCGGTGATTTTATACAAGATGGCACAGGACGTCTGGAGAGTTTAGAACTTCTCGCTTTTGTTTGTGTTCCTCCAAAGTCCAGCATTTCAATTTCAACTGACGAGTTGTGAAGGTGTGGAGGATGAGGAACCTCTTCCTCTCTCATCAGAACAGGCGTTTGTTTTGTTGTGCTGACCAGTTCTGGGCGTCTGGGCCTACGTGGTCGATTGCAGAATGTACCTGACACAGACCTTTGTTCATGTGGATACAGAAAGCATGAATGGGCCTTAACTGAAGCCAAGTACCTGTGATGACATAATCAGGGTTACTGACCCTGTCTTAGGCATCGGAAGTTCCCACAGAAGAACCTCTAAAGCACATGAAGGGAATTTGAATTTAACATTTTGTTAATGTTCTACGTTCATTTATGGTTTTGGAGTTTAGAGAATGGGAGGGTCTTTACTGTTACATGCAGTAAAATAGATGATATTTGTTTTTTTCTACTTCACAAATAAACTGTTGGGAAAAGTGCGGTTAGTGGTGTTCTGTCCATTTAGTTTATTTTAGTTTTTTTTTGAGAGGTAGACGTTGTAAAAAGAATGTCAGTCAATGATGCATCAATATGGATTAAAACACGGGATCCTACGTTTCCCATCATGCAACAAATCACATCTCTTTATTAAACCACACCTTTCCTACCATAATAACATTTTACTTGAGCTACATTTTCTATGCCTGAATCCAGTCAGGTGACCAAAGCTGCCCAAGAATGGATTCCCCAGCACTGGAGAAACAAAGGAAAGTACTCCAACACCTGAGCAGCAGCGTCAGCTCCACCACCAGCCACTGGGAGGCTAATCCCAAGGCCAGGACACTTGAGACAACAGACTAACTGAAGAACCTGTTCCATTACTTTAACACAGCAGCTATGAAATGCAACTCAGAACTGCAGCATTTTAATGAAGCATCCTGGTTTACATTTGACATGTTTACATTTTGTGCTGCATTAAACCATAACACACATCTTTAAAAAAAGGTGATTTTAATGTCTTGAAGGAACATTAACTGGTCAGAACAGTCGGTAGCTGCAGCCTTAGTTTTTACTGTCCAGTCACTCAGATTGTTGTCTGCTGTGTTTACTAAATAAATAAGATTTGTGTTGCTTCCTGTCAGGACAAAAAAAAAAGTGCAAATTGGCAAAACTGCTTTTATCGATGATTTGACTTAATGAGGTTTATTTTCTGTCACGTTCTGACCACTACATAACACATTAAAGCACTGAACGTTGGTGGCGTTTGTCTTCTAAGGTGGATGTTTCGGCCTTTATATGTGGAACACTTAAACTTTTGACCAGGTAGCAGAACGAGCAGAAAAAAAAAGCTGTAATCTCAAAGTCAATACCTGCAGCCCCCCGGTCCACACAATCCCTAAACAAACACACTCACACAGTGTCGCTCAGCTTTCCTACAGTGCTGAAGAGACAAACTATTCTTACGGCCGCATTTACACTCAATTGTCTGTGAATTGAGGGTCTTTGTTACCTCTGGAGTGTGACTCCTCCTGTTATCTGCAGCATCACTCTGATCTGCCTCAGCTCAGGGCTTTTTTTAAAAACTCTAGTTTCTTTTAAGGAGGATTTTTATTAAGCACAGTTAGTGATGAATATCTGAGGGCGTCCGTGTTGATGTTGTTGATGTTTACACTGGAGCACATTATGTTAAAATATTTAATGTTTCCCTTCTTTTAGTTGTTGTATTTGACAAGTTGTGCTGGTTTAGTTGTCATCAGTGTGGCTCTGTTTGGGTTAAATTCTTGTTCAGGACAGCTGTGAGGAAGCCTTCTGTATGTGATGATCCCTAAAGGTTCCATCTAGTGATATCATTAAATCCAAATTCTTTATGTCACTTTGGATAAAAGCGTCTGCTAAATGAAATTGTAGAAGTCCAGAGGAAGAATTGGAAAATGTTGCTGAGGATGAGGACATCTGCTCAACCTG